ATTCTATGGATCCGAAAAATAAATTGTTCGATAAATATATATTACTATAATAATTATTAATTCATCCTTTATACATTTTGAATGCATGATATATTTATTTTATTATATATATATTTATTTTATATATTATATATATATATATATTTATTTTCAAAAACAGTATATAGTAATAGTATAAATAATAGTTCCATACTAACATATATATCATGGATATATGCATACAGATAAAATTCAATATATATAATATCAAAAAAATTTTATTAATTTTTATTAATATCTTGAAAATTAATTAATATCCAAAGCAAAAAATTTTACATTTAAAGTCTGCATTTTCTCTGCTTTATTTCCTTTAAATTTCGGAAAACCTATAAATATAAAATTTAAAATAAAGTTTTGAAAAGTAAAAATATTGACTTTAAGAATGAAAAGTAAAAAAAAATAATTATTAACTTAAGAATTAAATTAAGAATGAAAAATAATTGTATGACTAATTTTTTAACAGTTTCTAACATTTATTTTTAAGAATGATTATTAGGAAAGCGAAAAAGATTACTATATTTTTAATTTAATAAAATTAAAAAAACTACTATATTTTGAATTTCTATATATAACATCATAAGTGATACTAAAATTTTAATTATAGTTTTAGTATACAAAATTTTACAAAATATTTACAAAACAAAAATAAAAAAAATTAAGACTGAAAATTCTGGATATCATAATTATCTTTGTTAATTATTTTTCATTATTATCAAACGATATATATGCCTTCTGCATATACATTTGCATTTCTTCATATACAAAATGTTAATTAATTAAATCAAATATTTAAATTATTTTCACTATTAGATTAAGAAAACAAAAATTTGAGACGTACATATATGATTTTAGAATGTATAATGATATTAATTATATATTTAATAACATAATTATATAAAAGTTCATTATCATTGTGAATGTTATTTTAAGATTATATTAGTTTTTAGGATATTAATTTTTTTTATTTTTTAATATAATGTTAATTAACATCAAGTTTAACTATTCTTATAATAATTATGCAAAATAATATATAGTATATCGATTTTGATAATCCTATATATTATTAAATTCAAAATATATATTCTAAAATAATATTTCTTAATTCATAATTTAACAGCTATTCAGTTTTAATTTCTAAATTATATTAATAAATTTCAATTCAATATCGATTTTACAAAATTTTAAATACTTATATCATTTTTCTGATATTTTATTTTCGTTGTGGCTACATATACTAACGAAAAAATGTTATAAAATTTTAAAGTAAAATTTAAAATTTTAATTATAAAAATATATTATGTATATTACATTTGATTTTTTGAAGTAATATTATAATTACAGTAAGATACCAAAATAATTTGAAGTAAATTAAATAATATTTGAAGTTAAGAAAAATTTTAGAATATATAATTTTAGAAATATACAAAAAAAGATCACAAAAGTATTATTTTTTTAATATTTTTATATCAATATTTCACTTTTGACTCAAATACATATTGAAGTCATTTCTATAATATTTATATACATGTATAACATATATTTCAATAATTTTTAGTTTTAATAATGTTATTTATTTTTTTTATTTTGTTTTGTTATTTATTTTATAATTTTGTTTAATCTTATTAAATTATATCTGTAAATAATGAACTTTAATTGATTGAATTTTTATTTATATATTATATTTACATCAAAATTCTTTATTTGGATTGATTAACAATTCTATAATTATCAATCTTCATTGAATAGCGAAGAATTACAATAAATTTTAGTAATAATTTTAGTAAGTTTAAAATTCAATAATGTAAAATATTTGATGAATTTTTTAATTTCAGTTCTTTTAAATATATTTCTATTTCATTTGTTAATTTTTATGTACTATTTAGGAAACTAATATTAGTAACATAAATTTTGCATTTTTTAATAATTGTTTAAACTCTTTTTCGTATAATACATCAGATATATATTCAGATTTGATATTTTTTCTATTCTGACATATAATTGTAGAAAACAATGTTTAGCATTTTCATCATGAATTTTATTAATTTATAATATATCGCGAATTCATAAATATCTTTAAATCTTTATCTAAAATTATTTAAATTAAAAATTATTTTCAAATAATTTTAATTTTTTATATTACTTATTATTATTATTATTATAGCAAATTTATTTAATTTTTATTGGTTTTATAATGCAATAAATTTTATATAATCTTTTATTAATAACTTTTTTTATTTTTTGCAGCTATTACAATTTTAAAATTAATTAATTTTATTTCACGTTATTAATAATTTTAAATCTTTGTTATCTATTTGATTATAATATTTTTTTATTTTCATTCGCTTGGATAAATTTGAATTCTATTTTGTATTATACAATCAAATATTGCATTTGCATTTTCAAACATTTATATTAATATAGTAATTTAATATAGTAATTTATATTAGTATAGTATAATATTTTCATATTTTTGCTTTTTCTACAATTTTCATTTCTTTTTTATTTAAAAAAATTGCATATATTGATAACTGAAATATATGGCATATAATATATAATGATCTAATAATACTAAAATTCATTTTTAATTTAAAATTTTGAAATATTTAATAATCATTTGTATTTTCTTTTTTTATATATGTTATATATTATCTCAACAAATATTAATTTTTTATGTTTTTAGCAGTACTTTAACAGTTTTCTTTTCCTTTTTTTTATTTATCAATCATATTGTTTTCAACACCTCATTGTTAACTGTAATATATATTTATTTTTTTTTTGTAATATGAAATTTATTGTATTCATTATAATATTTTTCGAGTATTCAACAATATATATATATTTATGAAATAATTCAACAATATGTAATATAAAAATTAAAAATATAATTTTTCAGATTTTAAAAATTAAATATTTATCCTATATTAAAAGAAAGAACGTCCCATATATTGCAACGTTAATTTCAAAATATATAATTAATTTTCTTATTTTAATATTTTGCTTGATATGTTTATCTTTTTTCTATAATGATTTTGTAAAAAAATGTGTATATAATAATGCAGCTTCAATAAATATCAATTATGAAAAATAGATATAAAAGTCAATTCTATAACCTTCAAAAAACGATATAAATCTAAGAAAAAAGAATTATAATCGACTAACAATTATATCTGTTTTAATCAAATTATATAATAACATATAATAGTTTTAACCAATCATTTTCGAAATTGATTCAAGCCCCGATTCTTCAATATAAAATATAACTTTACTGATTATAATAATAGAAAAAATATAATATAACTTTATTGATTTGTAATAGAAAGAATATAATAAATAAATAGTAAAACAAAACAAATTTAATAATACCATACGATAGTACAACATACAATGTATTAA